GGGCTGGCTGGCATGTGGTGCTGGGGGATTGAACCGCGGTCCCTTGTGCTTTGCTAAGCTTGTTCTAAGTAGGTGCTTTAGACCACTGAGCCATCTCCCCAGCCCAGGAAAACACTTATTGATGACATCTAAGAATTAGTAAACTAAATCATCTTTGCAGTTCTTTATACCTTAGAAAGCCTTTGGTCCAAAGTCCTTGACTGGAATTAGAATCTTAAAGATTTCCTCAACTGAGAGTTCAAAAAAAGTTATCTAGTTGGCTGGGGAGATAGTTCAGTAGATTAAGCACTTGCCTGGCAAGCGCAAGGGCCTGAGTTCAATCCCTGGTTCCACCAAAAAAAAAAAAAAAAAATCAAAAAAGTTATCTAAAAACTCATATTCTCTTCTGAAGAATCATTTATACAGTAAATTTTAATAAAAGCCACTTTGCCCTCTACTAAATTTATAAAGCAGTTTTAACAGAGACAGCATTTCAAAAGATACTTCATTTTCCTTAAGTTGAGGAATAAATTCAAAAATTTTATTCCAAAACAATACTCTACTTTAGTCAACTTTTATCTACTCATGAAATTTTGACACCAATGCTTCAATTAAACATTCCCTGGTGATTAATTTATAAAACAGTATGAGTTTGTCTTTAAAGTATTTTTGATACATAAATCACATAACATGTCTTATAGTATAGGATACCATATAGAGAGAGACAGAGTTAGTTTTTACTCTTCAGTACCTACCAACTAAGACAACCAGCACTATTACAAAAATAAAGCTATGGGGCTGGAGAGATGGCTCAGTGGTCTAAAGCACCTACTTGAAACAAGCTTGACAAAGCACAGGGACCGCGGTTCGATCCCCAGCACCACATGCCAGCCAGACCCGCCCCCTGGTGGGCTGAGCTGGCCACACACACACACACAATAAATAAATGTAATAAATAAAAATAAATAAATATTAAAAAAAAATAAAAAATAAAAAAAGCTATGTGTAAGTAAAATAAAGAATGTCAAATGAATTTAATGTCTGGTCTGGCAAGGGGTCCATAAATTTGGTCTTATGCATCATGTCAACCATTATTCTTACAATTGCTTTCCAATCTATCTTACACTCAATTTTTATACTCATTTTACTCTGAATTTTAAGCAACTCATTCCCCATTTAGCTTTGCCTCTATTCATCTCCCATCCTAAAATGCTTTCCTGGTTATTTTTTGTTGTATGAACCATATTTACCTTTGCTATTAATGTCTATGTTCTCCTCTGAAAGCTCTTCCCACTATCCCAGTATCCAGCAACCACCCAACCTTCACAGGCTCTCCCTGACTTCTACTTATTTATCTTTTTTGGAGAGAAGGCTTGCTACTAATAATAGCCACCAATAATAGTAGCAGCTCTTATTTAATACATGTTTAAAAAGTCTATAATACTGTAATAATGGGCACTTCTGCAATTAATATTCAAAACAGCTCTGAGAGGTAGATATTATAATTATCTTTAATAAGGAAACTAGAAACCTGAGAATTTAACTCTCCTGGTAGCATAACTAAAGAGTTAAAGACTTTAACATCCATGTAAATCTCTTACACAGCTCATTTCCTTACCTCCCTCTCCCAAATCTAAACAGTAACTAGTTTAAGCCACACAGTTCAAAGGTGATATTTTATAAATAGTTAACTCACAAGTGGATCTCAACAATAGTTTCAAACACAGAAATTTTTGTACTTTATACTGAAATTATTGATATTAGCCTTTCTAAAATGAGCTGTATTTTACAGAAGAAACTTAATGAACAAGAAAAAAAATCTTACTATTAACTCCGTTCCAACTTCTCAATTATCAATTGTATTTAGGCTTAAAATCTCATCAGAACTTCTTTAATACTGCCCAGGATTCTGATATAGAATTTAATAATACCATCTATTTAGATATCTACTTTAAATAGTAAAATACATTTTAAGTGAGTCTATTTAAAAAGACAAAAATATAGGCAATATTTCAGTATTCAGAGACAAACCAGTTCTGCCATAAATTGTGAGAAAGTAAGTATCTCCCCTGAGACTATTTCCCAACCTATGGAATAAATAAATATTTAGCATTATTGAGTGTTATGACTGTTCAATAAAGTATACACTTAGAACGCAGCAACTATTATAATTGGTTTACTTCTAGTTTTCAGTGCTAGGGATAGAACCCAGAGCCTTGAGAATATTACACAGGTTCTCTACTACTGAACTACATCCACAGTCCAATTACTAATGTTTTTATTATTAGTATGAGATTAGAAATATTTCATCTGTAAGGATCTAAAAAAAAGTCAAATAGCTTTAAAAATGGTGTTGTCCCTTTCTGGGGGTGACGATGTTCCCACAAGAACATGCCTCTCGCAAAAAATCTCCTTCATCCCTCTCTGGAGAAGAGGAAGTACAAGAAGAAGCACCTGGTGTAGAGTCCCAATTCCTACTTCATGGAGATGAAGTGCCCAGGATGCTATAAAATCACCACAGTCTTTAGCCACACACAGATGGTAGTTCCGTGTGTTGGCTCTCCACTGTCTTGTGCCAGCCTACAGGAGGGAAAGCAAGGCTCACAGAAGGATGTTTCTTCAGGAGGAAGCAGCACTAATAGTACCTTCAATCAAGATGAGTGGGAAGCCATCCCAATAAACACATTGTGGATTTAAAAAAAAAAAGAAATGGTGTTGTCTATGGTAAAGAAACATCATAAAAGACAAAGGTTAGTCTTGGTCTCTGAAATCGTAGTAAAAATAAAATTTTCCATTTACAGTCACTATGACAATAATCTTCATCAGCCAAGTTATTTCCATGCCAATTTAATTTTCTATTAATAAGTCATTCCTTTTAAGTTAAACATTTTTGATCATTTTAAGAAACCAAAGAAGTGTGAGCCAGAAATTAAAAAAATGATGGGATCAAGTTAACAAAATTACATTTTGCTATTAAATATTAAGACTGTTCCTACACGGAGCCTGAACAAAGGATATCCACTAAATTGAAATTACAAATGCTTCAATGAAAGTGGCAACTCTTATCTCCATAGCAAAATGAAAGAAAACTGGACTCCACTTTATTCCAAGGATAAATATGTCAAAGAATCAACTATCTAACAAACATTACCAGTTGACCACATTTTAGTTCAGGAAACCCTTTAGTAAGAGAAACACTTCTAATGAAGAATCTATAAATATATATTTAATGGAATCACTCAAAACGCAACAAATGAACAGATAATGAAATTATTCTAAAATAAAATATTTGTACAGTAACAAACTACTAGGCTGGGGAGATAGCTCAGCAGCACAGCACCCACCTGGCAAGTGCATGGTTCTGAAGTTCAATTCCCAGTACAAAACAAAACAGAACACTACAATTTAGTTTCTTCTAATTTACACTAGAATAGTTTTTAAATCTAAAGGTGATACACATTTTGCTCACTATCCCTACTTAATTTCAGAACATAATTCAATCACAATCACAGATAGTGATGATTATTAAACCTTCATATTCTTATAGATATGATTCCTCTTAATTCTGAATTATTTTAACTGCTTCATTCACTCTGCCTGCTACAGCTATACAGCTATATGTGATTTGAGATTTGAAGGCATCTAATTTCTTCAGTTGTACTTTCAATTTCACTTAAAAAAGTTTCTTGGGGAAATAAAAATTATATTACTATATCTGACACTATACAGTTGGGAAAGCAGGGATGATAGGAGACAGTATCAGAAAGTGACTGGGCTATGTGCTAGTAAACTTCAAATTATCCATAGTTCTCATATCAACATAGGAATTAAAGCGCTATTTTCAAAATAATTTCTTAAATTTCTTTTAAACATATTTAGGGGATAAAGAGGCTTACGAAGACTATTTTGCAACTGCAAATAATAATACCTTATTATGCAGTATCTGAACTACTCACCAAAGTTTGGTCAGGTTCTCCATCTGTTAAACCTGCCTCCATAATGGAAGAAGATAGATTTCTTTATGCCTCTCTTCCCATTAGTGTTTAGCCATCCTGTATGTCTGGAAACCCTGTAAAAAGAAAAATCAACTGGATTACATTTTAAACCAATGGATTTAATTGGTTTAAAATTGTGATAAGTGGAAAATAAACCATTAAGCATATTAACAGGGAGAAATAATTTTAGGCTGACATTATTGAGAAATTCAACAATTAAAAAGATGGATTTTTTTTTTTTTCTTGGACAGTGCTAGAGATCAAACCCAGAGCTTTGCACACGCTAGGCAACAGCTCTACCAGTGAACTACATCTCACCTCTAAGAAAATATAGGGGTTTTTTTGTTGTTTTTGTTTTTGTTTTGTTTTACTATGGATTGAACCAAGCCCTCTGGAATGAGCTACACTCTCATCTTATCCCCACTTCCTTTTTCCAGACAGGGTCTCACTAAGTCACTGAATTGCAGAGGCTGGACTCAAATTTTCAATCTTCCTGCTTCCAGCCTCTCAAGAGTGCTGGGATTACAAAAATATATTATTATGTCTAGCTAAAAAAGCAGATTTTTGCTATGAGTTTCAAGAATTGTAAAGTTCTACAGAAAAGTAAAAAAATAATTTCAATATAAGAGTTGCCAACAGCAAGGTTAAGCCACTGAGTGTCCAAAACTTGAAAATGAATTAGTTTTACATTATTACATTGGTGAGAACTAAAAAAGTATGTTAAAAGCCAACATGAGAGCTATTCCCACATACTTTTGTGATGGGAATAGAAATTAGGACAATTTGAGAGGAGGATAACTTAAAATAATTTTCCCACAGATATATAAATGCACAGAGTTACAAAACTAAATACATCCAACAAAGTAATACATACAATGAGAAAAAACTGAATAATTTAATGTTGATCATAATGTATTTTCTTAAATATTACACATATAAAGTGGAATAGCATACAACTTTCAAAAAATGAGATCTGAACATAACAAACTAGAAAGAATGCAAGATAGTA